GTAGGGGTTCACTAAACCACAATACCGACAAGTGATTAATAAAAGGCAAAAAACCAAAGAGGTCCCTTTAATACCAAAAAAAAAAAAAAAAAAAATTTTTATTTATATAATTAAAATTTTTTATATATATTAGAAAAAGTTAGAAAATAATAAAAAAATTTCAGGATGTGGTGACCTAGTAAAGTGGTTAGGTTGTTAACCCCCTAAGTGGTAGGTTGGGTGTTCAAATCCCATTGACAGTAAAAATTTGGATAATCACCTATGTAATATTCATATTATGGTAACTGTTACTAAAGATTTGGTTAGGATACCTGTAATGGCGGTCATACCAGCATGACTGGCAGGTCATAGGGCATCTGTGTAAGTATGGCATTACACAAAGGAATGCAAACTGACAAATCGAGCAGTGCAAACACTAGATAAGTCGTTGTGGCCATGTAAATCTGTTGAAATTAGGTAACAAGAAGTCTATTTGGAAAGACCGAGTAGAGAAGTAGCTGGATCTTCGATGGCTCTACTGTAAAGGCTAGCCTGAAGAAACAGATACCAAGGTCGTAGTATCTGGTCGTAGTAGCCGGACAGGCAAGAACTTCTGGGTTGAGGTCCTGAAGGTATTACCAACCAGGCCGCCAGAATGAACTGAAGGAAAAGAATATTGGGCCAACCTGATATACCAATGGACTGGTTGTAGTCTTACACGGGCTATCTGGATTAGAAGTTTGATAAAAAGGCTAGACAAAAGACAGAGGTATACTAAAGTACTGGGATTATGCTATGAAGTAGATGCTGGAGTCTAAGTAAACTCTACAAAAGCATAGTGGTTTAATGGTTAGCCCTGATCGCAAGTGTTGGTTCTGTCATAGTGATACCTAGGTCAGTTGTAAAAATGGGTACAGAAGGCTCTGAGGGTTTATCTTGAGGATAAATTAGTCCTAAGGTTGAGGATAATGATCTGGTATATCTGAGATGACCAGTGATATTAATACAGGTTACAGGTTCAGAAGGTTTAAAGTAAAACATCCAAGCAGGGATGTTAGATATAGCAATTGGTGGGGAACCTTTGGGCAGACTCCTTAAATAGGTAATATAGAAAAATTACATGTATAGCCAATTGTACACTCTTCTGTAGTGGTTCATTAAACCACAATACTGATAAGTGATTAATAAAAGTCAAAAGACCAAAAAGATCACCTTAATACCAAAAAAAAATATATATATAAATAAATCTATCAAAACTTTCTAAAAAATAAAGTGAACATATTTCTAAAGAATTAACAAGATGTTTATATAAATAAAATCTGTTCTTTAAAAAATAGAGACAAGAACATATCCAATACTTATTATTTGTTAAATACTTGTATATACTTTTAATTGAATGTATAACAGATTTTTGTCATTTATTTTTAAAGTTATCATATCAAAATGCTAATATTCTTTTATATAAGAGTAATTGATATTATTGTAACTATATAGATAATAATTTTTCAGTTAAAATATAACAAATGAGATCAATGTGAGGCTAATTAAACTTATATAAATAGTCTCTTTTTAAAATATATCAATAAGACTCAATAATCATTATTGTGTGAATTACTAAAATTTCTGATAAGGCAAATAGTGCCAAAAGTGATCATCTATTCCAATAGTATTATCTATTCCATAAATATGACTATACATGTAACAAGTTTTTGTAATAACAATAATTAAACATTTCACAAACAGACCATATTCATATTTTATAAAATAATGTAATGAATTCTTTATTAGCAGTATGTATCAATATATGATAATAAAAATAAGTTTTTATAAAATTTAATATATTTTTTCTTAATTCAGTCTTAAGAAAAACTTATTATATAAAATTGTATTTGTATTCATATATCGAAAAAAATCTTTATTTCATATAGAATCGATCACAGAATATTCATTATATGCCTTATTTGTATCATAACAGATATTTATTCCTTTTATAGTTAAAAAAAGTTTTTGCTCTATAACATGTTTAATATGACATTTATATAATTGCACTTTAATATTCTTCCAAATAGTTTATGTCTTAGAGATCTGTAAGAAATCTTTATCAAACAATAATATTTTTACATTGTTAATATTTATATTTGAGATGGCTTTAAATTATTTTGTCAGAATCATATATATATCATTATTCCTACTACTTAAAATATACAAATAGCTTATTGGAAACCCCGTACTATTAAGAACTATTAGAATTGAATAAAACTTATACTTAAGTTTAGTTATATTATAGATAACATCAATAAGTAAAACATCAAAAACCATTTTAACCAAATTGATAATAAATGGTGTTATGAAAGCAAATGCTTCTATTAAATCATCTATTTCTAAGATAATTTTATAATTTTTTTCATTTAATAGTAGTTTGGCTGATTGAAGTTGGTTATTTGCTTGCTTATATTTTATAACAGCATGATATATCCACCAATAATATGCCTAATTAATGATAAATAATTCATAACTATTTAACTTTTTAAGAATAATTTGGTTATATAACTTAGGTGCTAAATAAACTAAGTTTTTTTTAATATATTTTTTAATCTCATTAGTAATGCCTATATGTTGTGACTATGGATGCTAATAAATATGATCTAATGTTACTAATGCTAATTTATTTTGTAAAATCAACTCTAACAAAAATAGCATCTTTACAATTAATTATAATGATCCAATTGTAACTCTATATTGTATTGCTTAAAACTATCTAAAACTTTTGTTGTTTTTTTTTCTAGCTCTTGGCAGCAATTGCACCAATAAGTAAAAGTTGTCTTTTTGTTTGTTTATTATAATACTTCTTATGATAAATATAAGAGTATCTATCATCTTTCTCACAGAGCTTTACAATTTCAGTTGCTATTAAGTTGATATGTGATTCATTATCTAATTTGTCAATATGATCTAAAAAACTAATAGTTATATAAAGATCCAATCGAGCATTTTCTTCGGTATTATTCATAAGTTTGTTATAAACTACATCTTCAAGGTCTTTAAGTTCTATAGCATTCTCTTGCATTAATGAATATCATTCATATTTTGCTCTTGATGTTTTTATTTTTTTTCTTGGTTTGACAGGATGAATATTTTTTTGAGTTTGATTGGGTTGAATAATTGGCTTTCATTAATTAAATTTTTATAAAATATTTGGTAAGAATAAAAATTTTAAATAATCATTATTATAGTACTATATTATAAACAAATATTGTCATAAATGGCTAATATACAATTGCATTATTATATTTTAGACAATGATTTTAAACAGTGATTATGTAACTGATTTTGGTAGTCATGTGTGCAATAAAGGGCTGTTTCTTAGACAAAATATTGATCGCATGATATAACACTAAATTAAGATTCATTATTAGCCAATTTTTGTCTACATATAATTGAAAAAATATATAGTAAATTTGGTGAATATTTATTTGTGCACATAACACAAATCTTATTTGGAAATGATCAGCAATATATGCTTATTGTAAAATCTTAAATTTAGTAAAATTATATATCTTTCACTAACTATATATCGAAAATATATAAAAAAATATGATCTAATATATAATTTTAAATATATGTAAATTTAGATCAAAACACTACTCTAATATTATTGTCAACTTAATTCATAAAAGTCTTATTTCAATGAAAATTTGCAATATAATAATGTAGCAAAAAAAATTATATATTTTAATAAAATATGTAATTTATTATTTTCTATTTACAGTAATCTATTAATTTATTAATTTGTTGTCTTGGTAAATATAAGTGATTTTATTAAGCTTTTTTAAAATAACTTTAACAATACAACTATTTGCAAAATATGATTAAAATAAATAGTATTTTTTATTTTATTATATATACTTATTATATGTTGCAATATAATAAATATATAGATTTTTATATGCATTAAAAAGGTAGAGCTTGTTTGATTAAATTTTCAAAGTTTAATTTAACTAATATAATTAAAACTTATCTAAAATACATATGATAAAAATTATCTTCTTTGCTTCTCAATACCCATATGCAATGGAAATTGTGTTCTTTGATTTTCAACTATCCAATTTCCTTTAAATAATTTTTCTGGTTTACGAACATTTTTTAAAATTTTTGAGATCTGATTACAAATAACTTGCAAATGATTAATATTAAGGTTTTCAAGATTTTGTATCATTTGTTAAATATCATAGCGAAGTTTTTCAATAGTATATTGTGGTTTTAATTTTTGTTGTTGTTGCCAATAAAGAGATTCATAATTTATAAACAAAAAAAAGTAGCGAAGAATAATAGCATATATATATTTACAAAGTAGTTGATGCATTTTAAAATCTAAACAAGTATATAAGAATTGTCACTCTAGCTAATCATGTTCTAAATTCTTTTCTACAAAATATCTTATGCCTTGCTTAGTTTTTAATGCTACAGTCTAGTAGTGTTTACCAATATTAGTTTCTATAATAGTATTTGCCAATGCCTGTGCTTTCATTTTTCTTTGTTGAATTTTTCTTTCTGCAGGCATCATACATCTTGCTTGAACATCTGCAAGATGTTGTTGATGTTGTATGTCCCCTTTTATTACTATATATAGTTCATATATTAGTATATTATTATGTTGATTATGCTTTTCTTCAAAGTTGTCATATTTTAAACATTTATGCCATAATTCAAACATATTAGTAGTATTTATTTTGTTATAAGGAATTTTAGTTCAGTATGCATTTATCTACATTATTTTATTAATACCAAACAAATTACCTTGCTCATTCAGCTTATTTAACTATTGATATTTAAAATAGGTAATAAACATTGTAGCTTTTTTTCACTTTTCTAAAAATGTAATTAACAATTCTTCAGCAACATTTACATTATCAGCATACATTAAATACCTCAAATCAGTAAACAATTTATTTTCTAATATCCTTTTTTTACATGGTTTAAGTTTATGTTTTATAGAATTAGTTTTTTTCTTATATACTTTTTTTAGATTATCCCTTCGAGCCCACATGACATGCTACTAACAAAGTAATATTCAGCTTTCTGAAAATACAGTATGAAGAGCTTTTATTTATGCAGGATCAAAATTTACCATAAATGCTACAAGGCCTTTCCAATCAGAAATTTGAATTCAAAGATTATTTAGCCAATATTGAACAGAATTAAAATTTTTATAAGAAGATAAAAGATGAGCAAATGTAATGTCTTATTCAGTTTTTGGATTAGATAAAAGAAATATATATAATAAATTTTTATATTTATTTGTTTTGTGAGTTGCATTAAAGAGAATAACTAAAGCATCATGAATGTTTTTTTTTCTGAAGAAATTGTAAAGCTGAAAAGCATATCTAATTATTATCATAATAATTATTTAATCATTGAACTGCACAAGTAAGATTACATTTTATTCAAGTTCAAGTCTTCACAATTCAATGCTTTTTTCTTCAGATTTATGTTTATTTGGTTTTCTAAAATTATTTTCTTCTATATGTTGTATATGTCATCACATGTTACAAGATTATCTCAAATTTGAACTGTATTATTTCTGTTTTGCTAATTTCACATATTTACTATATTACAAGCATGTTTTTTAATAAGCCAATTAATGTTTTTAATATTTAATCTATCTCAAATATACTCAACAATTCAATCACAAACATCTTTTAAAAGCCTCAAGGTTCTAATATTACTATTTGAGTCTAGAATGTAATTAGTATGCAGGATATATTTTATAAACATTTGTAGTTCACTAAATATACATTTTGTTGTAATAATTATTTGTAATTTACAATTACAATTTTTACTTTATGATTGGGTCTTTGCTTTTTATTAGGATGGCTTTGATCTGCTATAGTTTGATAAGTTCCTGATCGATAACATTTGTAAGTAGTTCACAAAATAACATTTTTAATATCTTGTTCTATTTTGCATTTAATATAAGTTGTATTAGTTATTTTACCAAACTTTTGTACCTATTCATAATAATCTGTATTCAATAAAACAAGATATTCAACCTCTTTCATTAACTTATTATAATTAAAATTTTTATTATATTCAATTAAAGTAGCACTAGCTGGCAAGAAATTAGAACTTAAAGAATGGTGATTCTAGTGTAGTAGTTAGGTTGTTATTCTCCAAGTAGCAGGTCTAAGTTTCAAATCCCACCTATGATGAAATTTGAAAATTATATTTGTGTTACAAAAACTGTCTCCTGTCAATCAGTTGGCCTCATGCAGCTGTAACTCAGGTATACCAAGTTGGGGTCCTACTGACATTGGGAGCTCAGGGTATCTATGTGAAGTGTAATGTTACATGTACATAGAGGAATGTTAATAACCAGTGTTACATAAGACTTTGGTGCAAACCCATGATAAGACTACTGGGTGTAGAAGACTAAGAAACCGAGGAAATAGAATCACACTTAGAAATTCCTAAGTAAAGAGGTAGCACAAACTTTTGATGGTGCTGTCGGACTGATGGAAGCTCATGAAACACCTTTATAGGAACTGAAGATTAAAACCAGACATCAAGATGTATAGAGGAGCACATGACCAACTAGGCTGCCAGATTCGCTGAAGAAAAAAGATACTAAGGTATACCATATCAGGCCATCTGGATTGGTAGTCTGAAATGAGACCAATGGTTCCAAGTTGCGACTAGTAGATGATAATGAAGAAAATGTCAGAAAGATAGATACTGGGGTTTGAGTAAACTTTACAAAGGTAGAAATAGTATAATATAGTAATTTAAGGTTAGCCCTGACTGCAAGTATTAGATAACTATAACATGTTACATAAAACTAGGTTAGCTGTATGTGAGATACAGAAGGCTTTAGTAATGATGCTTCTGAAGATATACTGCATGAAATAAGGTATAGGATTTTAAAGATATGGGTAAGCATCTAGACCTTCTCGACTGACTTATGTAGCAGAGATGATCTAGTGATACAGTAAGGGTTGCAGTACAGAAGGTTTAAATAGGCAACACTGCTAGTTGGGTTGCAGATATGGCAGCTAGTGTAGAACCATCAGCGGACTACTTAATTAGACACCAAAAGTGTACATATGACTAGTTGTACTCTCTAATGTAAGATAACTCTTTTGAGGCCTTGGCTATGAGTACCTATATCCTGACTATACTGAATAAAAAACCCCAGCTCCAAAAAAAGCTAGTTTAATACAAAAAAAAAAAAAAAATTAGGACTTATAGCAGATTTTTGAAGGGATCCTATAAATTGATCAAAATGATCGAATAATCCTTCCAAACTTGCTTCATAGTTATCTGTACAATTCTTAACATTATATTCAAAAACTTGAGTAGCTTGTATGTTATAATAAGTATATTTTTATAAGCTTCTTTTTTGTATACAGTATTTAAATTTTTAATATAACTTTATTAAAAAATTACAATCTTTATATATAGATTTAAATATTTAATAAATTGTATAAAGGTTTTGAATAATCTCATTCTTATTCTATCTGAGTTATCATATGATGTTTTATTTTTATATAAATGTGATATACAAACTTAGCAAAGCTAAAACCAACACATTCAATTAATACTAATTAGTTAATTTTATTAGTTGATTTCATTTTAGTCAGGTTTATATATTAAATATAATATAATTAATTTAGTTTTGATTAATTTATATTTATGCTAGAGATATTATCTTTTATAAAACATACAGTTTTCATTCTTTAAACTGAGCTAGCATAAACTAAATACTTAATTTGGTAAGCTAAATTTCAAAACTTTAAAACAAATTATTTAAACTAACAAATCTTTATAAGATTTATAAGTTTCAATATAAATAATGCTAATTGTATGCTAATATGCTTAATGAATCTTATTTAAACTTAATAATAAAAACATTAATAATTAATTATTTATAATAATAATTAAGAATTTTGATCATTATTAATAATTTCTATATGATTATATTAAAAACTGCAATTGTATGCAAAAAATCATAATGAAATCAAGTTTTTCAATATGCAGATAAATTGGCTTTTGATTATGTATTATAAATTTTTATACTTTTTTATATAGTTTTAAATCGATTTACTAAGTTGTATAGTAATTTTTAGTTAATGATTTAGTTAATTGTTAATAATTAATTACAGTATTAATTATTAATAATTTAAGAGGTCTTATTGCTACTTGAAGTAATTTTTGATATTTATAATAATGATCTGTTTGAAGCAAACTTGTTAGCAAATATATTAAATCATTTGTTTGCATGCATCTATTATAGATTTATAAATACAATTGAATTTAATGAATCACATATATTGTACAATAAAGTTTATAAATATATGAATTTATTTTTATTTTTTGAAACCTATTTAATAATCGATTAAAATAAATTATAATGATGAATATTAGTGCAAAGGTTATTTCAAAAGCATTTAATTGTTTAGACTTTTTTTCTATTAATTTTGAAACAATTAGTGAATAAATTGTATGTATACATATTAAAATTTTTATTTACATATTAAATTATATTTGAATTGATTTAATTTAAAAAAAACACAAGTTAAGTTAATTGTTTCTTATAAAATTTTATAAGCTATTTGCTATAAATACTTCCAAGTAGGTTTAAAAAAAAAATTTCGTTTGTGAATTTTTAAATTTTAAAACTTCTAAAAACCAGTTTTAAAATTCACATAAGAAACATTAATTAATATTACGCAGCCTAATATATTGCTGATCATTTCCAAATAAGGTTTGTGTTACGTGCGCAAATAAGTATTCGCGTAAATTTGGTGGTAGTTCCGGATGAGAAAACATCCCACTTTTCGATCAAATAATGAAAATGTTGTTGAAACAGTATAAAGGTCTAATAGAACAAATATTATACTAAATTTTGCAAGGAATTTTTTTTGTTAGAACACAAAGGGTGGTTTTGTAACTAAAATTTTAAGCTACCGACGATTTTTGAAAAACTTTAAAAACTTGGTTTTTTTTGAAAATTTTATGTTACACCTGATCTTATAATTTGATTGGTAGACGAAAGGTGGCGTAGTCGACATTGTCCAATTAGAGAAGACATTTACAACTGTCCATTGATAATCTAAAATATGGCCCGTGCCGAAATTTGTCCGAATTCCGGAAAAACTCATTTTGACGTTATACATATATATTATTACAGGTCTAACAACTTTGAATATAGGGTCTCTGTAAGATAACGGCCTTTGCAATATTCAAATGCAATATATTTAATACTATGCTTATTTCTTACCATGTAACCTGTATTTAATGACGGGATAAGTACTAGTCGACTGTTCGTGCGTCGAAACACCATCACGTGACAGAATATGTTTATATATATATATCGATATTGATATCTAAAAGTGTGTGTAATATCCAACTCTTGGTGAACATGGAAGACAAACCTTATATTCCAGGATATCTCAAAGGCACACCTATAGAAAGGCTTAATTCAGCCTACCCATTATATCTACCAACGCGCTTTGAAGAGTGTTGGACGAGGCATGTCAAGTGTATGGATAATAAATTAATAATTAAATATATAGGTAAGGATAATTTTTTTGGTATTGTTTTGGTTTTATACATGTTTTTCAATTGACATTCGTAACCGTGTTTAACGAAGGACCTGGTGTTGATGACAGTCAAGCCGAATCAGTTCCCACTGACTATCCTATCCCACCTGAAGTTTTGCTATACTATTTTGAAGTCGATATTATAGATAAAGGTGAAGATGGGTGTGTTTATATGGAACTTTTATACTGTTTATTTATTTATCTACTTATTTATTTTATTCTTATTTATTCTAACTATATAATTTCCAATCAAATTAGATATATTGGAGTTGGATTTGCTAAAGATTTAGAAATACTTGAAATTTTACCAGGTTTACTAAGTTTGCGAATTTTATTATTTCTTTCACGAATATTAATGTTATTTTTTTGTTCTTCCTGTCATAGGATGGTGTCCAGGAACGATGGGATATCATGGCGATGATGGATGTAAATTTTATGAAACCGGCCGTGGCATCAATTACGGGCCTTTATATAGCACGGGAGACACCATTGGTTGTTGTGTAAACTTTGTAGACCAACATATTTTCTATACGAAAAATGGTGTCAATTTAGGTAAACGTTCCTTGCTAGATTGATATGCTTATGATGTTATCATTTAACAAGAGCTAAAAAAAAAAATAACTAGATTTTTCGAAATAATCTAGGGATCGCTTTTGAATGTGCTTTAAAGGAAGATTTATTTCCTATCATTGGATTGAGGACTCATGGTGAATGCGTGGAAGCGAATTTTGGAACAAAACCGTTTAAATTTGATATTGACTCTTATGCTAAAGTGGGTATAACCAGTGACATTTATTTACTTTCAATTTAAATTGCAATATCTCGTGACTTAATTTTTTTCTCCTAGGCATTTTTCTCTGAACCTCGGATTGCTGCTCAAATAGAAGGCCCTAAAGAGATTCTGATGCGACACATTGACATAGATGTATTCGATGAGAATCTGTACAAATTTTATGATTTTGTGTGATTTTCACCAGTAAGATTGCAGTGAACTCGGTTGCTATACATATTGTTAACTACAAAATGTTTCCAAAATAATGTTTTTTTTTTTTTTTAAAAAAAAAAAAACTAGCTCATTCAGCAAATGATTCTTTATTTATATGTAAATTGTTTCTCAATATATTAAAATTTTTTTAAAAACATCCGGAATTTTCCTAATACAATTTGTCTTTAAAAATCGACCTGGTCGGTTATGAGAACAACTAATAAATTTGCATGGCATTTTATAAACCAAATTTTAAAATTTTATAACTTATCGCATACGTAGCATTGATCGTGTAACTACCACATCAAAACTTTCACGTTGTCATAAGACCAGGTGTAACATAATGTGAGTACGTAGAAACAACATTAGTAGCTCACCTACAAGATTTTTCATCCACGTGATTTTTGGCCAATTAGATCGAAGGATCAGGTGTATAAAATCAAAACAATCGAATTAAACGAAGATTTTAAAGTAATAAGCTTATCTTAGAGTTAGGATTAAGAATAAGGAAGTTCATAGCTTACACTAAAATTTCACGATGAATTTTTTTTATTAGAACACAGAAGGCAGTTTCATAGGTAAAATTTCGAGTTAATAGCGATTTTTTAAAAAGACGTGATTTTTACACTACACCTGCTCCTTCAATCTAATTGGCAGGAATCACGTGACGGAAGAATCTTGTAGGTGGGCTACGGGGATTCGTAGGAACCACATTAAAATCTATAAATCATAAGATTAGCTTTTATTCTATATAACAGATATATACTAAAATTAACTATATTGTAAAAAGAAATACAGTCACACCCCCCTGTCGGGACCATAGTGAGAAAAATTAAAATTTTGCACTTAGGGTGTTTGGGTGTTTGCACTTATAGAGAATAAAATATCTAGGGCTCTTATAGTACTTACACTTAGGGTGATGCGACTGTATTAGGATCTTTGCTAAAAAAAAGATTTGAGACTGTAAATTTGCTAGCCGTTACAAAAAAAAATTACATGAACGTTATTTCGAATTTTGACCAAAATTTGAAGGCGTTATTTTAACCGTTGTTGTTAGAGGCCTGCAGCCCGGGCCTGAAGCAAAATTTCACAACTGCGGGCCTGAGCGGGTCTAAAAATTTTCAAAATTTAATAATAAATTTTGTGCTGAAGAAAAAATTTATATATATGCGGACCAGCAAAAAAATTTTAAAGCTAAGTGCGGGCCGGGCCGGGCTGGCAAAAAATTTTAAACCTAAGTGCGGGCCGGGCCAGGCCAGGCCAGGCCACAAAAATAGGTAATTTGCAGACCCCTAGTTGTTGCTCACTTTCCTGAAACACCTTCCCGAAATACTATTTCTCTAACCTAGAGATTGAAACCAGTTTGCGGATTTAAATTTAAACCGGATTCGAATGTAAGCCGGGTCTTATATTTTCTAGTTCGAAAATCTGTTTAAAAAAAAACCGGTTATTTGAAAAATCGGGTTTAATAAAACTGGTTATCTTTTGATGATGATCGCATCATTATCAAATAACTCCGTTATTTGATGATGACCAAAAGAACTCGAGTCATTCTGTTGATACGATCATAGTAAGACACCGGATAATACTGTTATTGAATGCTACTCAGCCAATAACTCGTTTATCTGGCAGTGAATTTAATATGCGTCATTTCAGGGCCCAGAAGCTGACATATTAAATTTCACAGCCAGATAATAAATTATTTTCCATTCGCATCCAATAACTATACATTATTTCGCAAAAATCGGGTTTAATAAAACCGGTTATTTCGCAAAATCGGGTTTACAGCTGTTCTCATAAATTCTGGGACAACTGATAAAAATTTGATCTCCCGAATTCGATAAGTTTTTGAATTCGGTGTTATCGGAATTGGATTTTCGGCATTACAGTAATTCGATAACACCGAATTCGAATTCGGCCGAAGAACAGTTATAATAAAACGCAAAAATCGATTTTATTACAGCTGTTATCATTATTCCTGTGAAAAATTAACCGAGTGATTATTCAGCCGATTCGGTAAGTTATTGATTTCGGCATGATCAATGTAACGTTTACTATTTACAAAGATGGTTTAAAACCTGGTACGTACGTACGTACGTAGATGCAGTGACAATTAATGACCAGATAACTAATATCGATATAACTCGAGTTATTAGTATTATGCTTTAGAAGCATTTTGGTCGAAAAAAATTTAGGAGGGTTATAAATTCGAACAACTGCTAAACACTTAAGTGTTAGCAAATCTTCAATAAGTCAAGTTTTCAAGCAAAATATTGAAATACAAGATTTTTCAAACTTCCATTTAATTTCAAAATGCGCCACTCATTTATAACTTTGAGAGATTTCCGCCATTTGTAAGAAATCACGTCTATTAAATAAAATATTTTAAGACTTTAATAGAAGAAAAGCCTAACTGATATTTGTACGAGTTACGATTAGTAATAGAACTTAGTAGGACATGGAAGTAGAAGTCTTGTAGTTTCACGTGAGTTTTAATTTATAAATCGATTAACACCTTCGTACATACCAGATTTTAGCCTATCTTCGTGAATAATGATCATGACGAAATCAATAATTTATCGAATTGGCAGAACAACCATTCGTTTAATTTTTCATAAGGTGTCCCAGGAATAATGATAACAGCTGTAAAACCGCTTATTCGGAAAAATCGATTTAATAAAACCGGTTGTTTCAGAAAAATCGGTTTCTGAACTATAACAGAAATTTCTCTGATTGGCTAATATAAATTAATTACCCGGTAATTAATTTAAGTATCAAAATTCACTGAGAGATTTCTGAAGAACTTAAATAAATTTATTCATATACAGGGTCATGTCAGTAGAGGCAACATTAACTGCTTAATTTAACAAACAGTCTTTGTTAAATTAAGCAGTTATTGTTACCTCTAATTCGATCTTTTGACCTTATTAAAAGTAAAAAAAAAGCTGAGGTTAATGTTTGAATGAGTTTTTATAGCGCATTTGGTTAGATTTATCAATCATAAATGTCGAAAAAGAAAATTCAAATGATGACGTAACTCTAATTTACCTGGCTTGTTTACCCGAGCCTATGGGACTATATGATGCCAAGCGAAAATGGATAAGTCTCATTTAACAGATTTTATTTATGATAACATTAGAAATTCTGAATTAAATGCATAAGAGTTTTACTTGATTCACATTTTGATTGATCTCTTTATTATTCAATGTGTCAATAATTTGTAATTTTATTTCATTCGCAATTAATCGCTAGCATAAAGATTATTAATCGATGTACGCATTTAAAGAATTTAAAGTAAGTTACTCAAACTTATAGTCTTTAATCAAGAAGTATAACCTTACTCATCAATTCCGATGACAGGCTGATTTAATTTTGATTATCAACTAAGATTTAGAGTTCAATTTTACCAATTAAATTCTGGTCGCACCGTTCTTCGTCATTTTTCAATTTATGTCGCTTCGAAATGGAAGATTCCTTATTACTTCAATTCCAACAAGCTAGCTAATCCAATTTGTTTCAATTGTATCATCTAGCTTATCAGAATTGAAATAATAAGGAACATCCTTTACATAATGTGTCAAGCTTATATAGTATTTATTCAGTGTTGTCACATCTACCATGTCCAAGACTTTTTTAGACCATGTCCAATGTCCAAATATCTACATGTCCAAGAATGTTCACAGCATATACAAGCTCCAAAACTTAATATATTAATTTAAAAAATATATAATTGTATATTTTTATAGTGTTGAATATTTTTATTTAGAAAGTTAAAAATAGATTAACTTAATAAAATTTTAAGTAATTTTAATTTATTTATTTGTCCAAAAAATGTTCACAAATGTCCAAACCATGTCCACAACTGTCCCATGCCAACATGGTATTTACACCATGTATATTATTTTGAGAATGGATAAGTAAAAAATGCCAGTATGGTCGAACTAAATACACAGAATTTTACCATATAACGATAATATTAATTCTATCACATTTTATATTGATGGGGATACAAAAATTGTTAAGAGGTGAATCGCGGTTAAATGGTATAAAAAATAGCAAATTTAATAGTAGAAATTGGCAGAAGTTAATGTAGTTTTTTTCTATAAGGTTGGAATGCAGGAAGTTTACAATAAAAAGCCAAGTAGACCTTGAGTTTCTAACAAAGATTATAGAGCAAGTTATTCTGGTTTTAACAGTGGTAGAATTATTCAAATTGGGTTGGTAGATAGCGGGTCATTGATTTTCATGTCAATTTTTACTATGAAATTTATACACCAATTGGTGTGATGATTTTTCGATTTTAAGAGAATTATACAGATTTCCAAATATATATAAATATCATTGATCGAATAAATGATTGAAATTCTCTACTATCGTTACCACGAACCACGAAAGTCATGGGTCAAACCTTTTTGCAAACCGTTATAATCAATCTATAGCTCTCCGATGGTAAAGTGATGGGGGAAATTAGAACACCCAGTTTGAGTGTGCATAATAACTATAACAACTACTTTTAGACACTTTTCTATAGAGTCGAGCAGTTTCATGCCAAAAGGGATTTCGTTATTTTTAGAAAGACACATTTATTATAATTCTAGCTTAAAATTCTGAACTCCTTGTTTTACAAGTGAAGTTTGCCGGCTGAAAAGAAAAGCCTTTGAATATACAGTATTAGGCATGCATCTATCTTTAATGTACAGATTTAATACACCAGGGCAATCTTAAATTTACAGATCATGTGAGAAAAATGCCGTAGTCACGTCCATAACTGCGATAGATTTTGTAAGTATTAAATATATCCATTCGCACATTAATATAAAAAAAAGTAATGGTTAATTCAAAGTAAGAGATAATAATAATGCTGGATCAAGGTTTATAAGGAATTATATGTATAGTGGCATCGAATAGACAATAATGTTATCATGATCAAAATATATATTTAACTGATGTTTTATAAAGGTTGCAAGGTTGTCGCTTTGTAAAGTTCTTTACTTCGAGTTTATTAAAACCACAAAACCAAATTATCATTTTTTTTAAATTCGGGTTGATTCGATTGGATCGTCCGGTTTTATTTAAATTCGGGCTGATTCGGTTTTGCGAGTTTATTACAACCACAAATCGCAAAACCGAATTACCCGGTTTTGAAACCGGGCTTAATTTTGGCAAAAGATTAAACCGAATTATATAAATAAAACCGTTTCCGACAAGACATATTTCTGACAGTTTATTTCACCGATAGAAACTTTTACCGAATACTTTTTCCCCAATACAACCAATTCGCCAAAACATCCGGAATTTAAAATTAAACATCGGTACTCAAATAGGATTGATTGATATAAATATCTTACTGTTTTTGATTTTTGAAAGAGATGTTAAAACTATCATACCCATTCCATGTCTTTCTATACGTGATTGCCTAAATTACATCTTTTAATAATCTTTCAAAATCAGTTTTTCATAGTTAGCGAAATTAATTTTAATAAGTGGCGAAATTATTGACAAATTACTCGAATTCCTTATATCAAAATAGTATAGTTGTTTGTGAGAGTTCATATAAAATGTAGCAATGGTGAAAATTTAGACGAAATTAGTTTTTCAAAAAATTGCTTTTTTTAAAAAAATAATTTAAACATTCATGTATATGTCTTTCATAAAGTTTTTACGGCTTCAATTTGTTAAGTTATTTACTTTTTTTTTTCAATCACGTTTAACTATTTTTTTTTTTTAACAGATCCAAATTTTTTTCAATCATTTTTTTTTTTTTGAGGAAAGTTCCAGATTTTTCAATAAACTTTATCACTTATAAATTAATTTCTATTAAGAATATGTAAATAAACCTTTACTAATATTGTTTTTAATTCAATAGCTTCATCATTTGCAATTTCAATGTCACTGACCTTTGAATCATATTCGGCCATACTTAAATATATTTTGGCCTCCTTATAATCACAATATTTCCTTAAGAGTTAGCCAATGCGACGGGTATATTATTTTGATTGCCTATCAAACCTTTCATAAAGAAATTGGAGTTGTGTTGAACCTTGAACATATTACTGTATTTTTTAAAAAAGTGTTGTCTAAATTCTCATACATATTATTGACATTAATAACGTTTTTTTAAAATCAGGTAAAGAAGTAGAACTTCTTCATAAATTCACTTTCTTTAATATGTGTTAACCATTCAGAACAAGTTTTATTTGCCTAATCGATTATTAATCATATTGAACCATCGAAACTATAAAATTAATTAAGTTTAAACTGATTTTTGGACGACACGGTCATTTTTCTAGCAAAGATCCTGTATAAAAATAAATAAAATATATACTATAAATAATTAAAAACAAATTCTAAATCATAATATCATATATATATATATATATACGTATTATATATAGGTATATTATCCAACTTTTCTTTTCAATTTTGGAAATAAATTCGAAAATTAATTAGATTCTTTTAACAATTTTTCAGAAATTTATTGGTTGAAAATAATACATATAAATTTTATTTTTAAATTTAATTATCAAGAATCTCGCGCAAGTCACGCGATATGTGGGATATTGTATGGTATGTTTACCTCGAGCCGGTGAAACCCGCTTTTGCATAATAAAAAAAAAAACACAGCTAAACGCGGATTTCATCCTCTCCTATTATTTTTGCATTATATATATAAAATCGGTCCGGGTTCAAATTAATTACCCATTTCTACTCATTAATAACCACATTGACAATAATACTGTACAAGCCAAAGTTTAAAAATTCTTTATTATATCATTGTGTAGAGAAATTATTGTACTAATATGAAGTTATATGTTTTTTTACGTACAGTAGTAAATTCCCAATACCGATACTCATTTTTATTACAAAAAAGTTTAATATGATTAATAAATTAAAAAGTTTTTTTTTCGTCAAGATTTTAGTACCCTAATCTAGTCCATTGCTGCATTATATAATTGTTAATTCTAAAATTTACAAAACTATATATTTAAAGTAAATTGTTAAAATAAGTGTGTATACATGGTTTTTTTCTCAAAAAAAAAAAAAGTTCTGCCTTCAATAGAAGTTAGGATTAGAGTTAAAAAATATATATATATATAAATTATTTTTTGGAGCACCAAGTATTTTTACTTAGAGCACCAAGTATTAATTTTTCAATCATTTTTTTTTTGATATATGTATTTTAGTAAGTTTAGTACTAAATTATAAAAATTTTTATACGTAAATTCATTGTTTCATTGCCAATGCTAGTTATCGTGTACTTTCATATTTCTGCTTAGCAATTTCCATTAATTCCGTAAGTTCACCACTTCTTTCACACATGTTTCTAAACAATCCATCAGGTTTTTGCATTAGCAAATATGGAATATCGAATTCAACCACATTTCCAGCATCTAATTTTGGAGAGAAGGAATTAATATTTTTTAAATATATATATATATATATCTTTGAACTTTGAAAATACATACCCATAACCAGAATTCTATCATAATCTGCGACAGTTCGCAATCTATGTGCAATAGTGATAACAGTGCTATCTTTAAACTCTTCCCTAATTGTAGTCTGTATTAAATAATCAGTTTTAAAATCTATACTAGCAGTAGCTTCGTCCATTACTATTAATTTGGAATGACGAACTAGTGCTCGAGCCATTGCGATCAATTGTTGTTGACCTTGAGAAAAATTGGAACCATTTTCTTTTACAGGTGAATCAAGTGTTATTGGTTCTTGTTTGTTATTTTTTTGATCAGAAGTAGAATTAATAATTTCTAATTTTCCTTCTTCAGAATTAGTGTTGTCAGAATTTTTAACCAATTGTACACGACGAAGTGCATTCCATAAGTCGAGATCATTATGCTCATTGAATGGGTCCAAGTTACTCCTGTTTTTGTTTTTTCGATATTTGATAAATTAGTTTAAAAAAATTTTTGATAATGATAATAAATATGTATATAATCGAGATTTTTATTTACCTTATAGTACCATTAAATAGTACAGGATCCTGAGGTATGATAGTAATATTACTTCTAAGGTCCCTTAATCCAATAGTACTGATATCAATATCATCAATTACAATGCTTCCAGAAGTTGGTTCAACAAATCTAAAAAATGACGTTGCTAAAGTTGATTTTCCACATCCTATTATTTAAGAGTAAAGTTAATATTTGAATATCAATAATTCTTCAAACTAAATTTATTTACCAGTTCGACCAACAATTCCAATTTTTTCAGCAGCCACAATATCAACTGAGACACCTTTTAAAACTAAGGGACTGTCAGGTCTATATTTAATTTCCAAATTTTTAATATGAATTTCTCCACGAGCTGGCCATTCAGATGGTGGTCTGTGGTCCGGTATTATATTCTCGGCTTCTACTTCTAAGTTATCACTGTAGTGAACTAAACGTTCCACTGAGTTCATGTTTGCCTCCTATTACGTATTAGATCATGAGAAATTAGTCATTTAAATATATTATTAAAATATTATTATTATTATTATTATTATTATTATTATTATTATTATTATTATTATTTATTTTCTTACCACTTCAGCAACTTGTCTAACACACCAATTAAAAGTTCCAGTAACTTGAAGTGCGTAAGATAATACTAATCCAGTGATTGCAGGTACGACAGTAAATCTAAATATAACTGCAAATAAACCTGAGAAAAATATCAAGATATTTGCAATGGTTTCAAGACGGACTGAAAGCCATCGTTGAACACATAATATGAGGAAGTATGCTCTATTTTCAATATTTAAGAACATTTCGTTGTTTCTGTTTTTTTTTTTTTAAAAAAAAGAAGATATTATTCACTATTATGTTAAAAAAAAAATTTAATTTATACCAAAAAATTGTAAAGCAACAAATTTTAAGTTTTAAGGACCTTAAAAATCTTTCTTGTTCACGATAAGCACGAATAGTCGGTAATCCTGTAAGTGTCTCAGAAAAATGTGCGTATAACGAAGATCTCAATACTGAATCAAGGCCTGTAATAAAGAAAATTTTTTTTGGTTTAAATATACATATAATGTCTTATTAAATAATTGTAACGATAATGATAGTTACGTTTTAATTCACGATTAGACGCTCGATAATAAAGAGCGGCAAAATAATAAAGTATGGTCAAAGGAACCAATGGAATAATGAACCAAATGAACACCACCACGATTAAGATAAAGACTCCAATAACACTTGCAAGGGTCATAAGAAACATTCGATATGATTCAGAAAGTAAATTGTCACTTGTATCGACATCTTTACTGAATCTGATTATTAAATGAGTTTGATCAGTAAATCTTAAAAATAAGATGTTTAAAGATAAAGTTACATAAACATGATAATTACCGATTAATAATTCTTCCTAAAGGAGTGGTGTCAAAGAAACTTGTTGGTGCTCTTAATACACGTTTAATTGCATTATCATGTAAACGCTTAGCCGCTCTAACACCGCTATATGAGAATGCGATGCCACACAAAACACCAAATATTCCTTGAGAGACACCCCATGCACAATAAAAACCTATCTATAAATTCAAATTTGTGTTTAAATATGTAAATTGAATTAGTTATAATATTTGGTTATACTATAATGAGATTTCATGAATTTTAAAGATATTTACATAAAATGCCGATGAAAATTGAAATGTATCACTGGACCAGTATGAAAGCCATAAATTGTTTCTAAAAAATAAAAAGTTATCAATTAGATATAAGATTATATGGGTAATTTTTATTAATATTAATATATGATGAAAACATACCCAATATTTGTTACTTGCATCATAACAAGCAAGAAAAGCAAGAAGGGTATTAACAATAATCCTCCAGCATTTCTAATATATGCCAAGTATATCTTATTATCAACTGCTCCTTTGTACTGTTCTTCTGTTGACATTAGCCCTTTAGATAAAACAGCTTGATCAATTTTTTTAGTTTCTTTTTCGTCCAGTGTTGATTCTTCATCAATTTTCTTTTCATCCTCATCATTCTCATCATCACTTTGTGCTTCACCATATTCAGCAATTAATTTTGAAAAGGCTTTACCATCTTTCATTAATTCTTCATAAGTTCCTTGTTCAGCAATTTCACCATCTTCCATACATATTATGTAATCTACATGTGGTAAATAATGTAAATGATGCGTAACAAGTACACGCGTCTTTTTTGCAAGTGCACCTTGAATACAATGTGTGAATAAATATTTTCCAACATGTGCATCAACTGCAGACAATGGATCATCTAATAAAACAATATCAGCATCGTAGTACACGGCTCTTGCGATATTAACACGTTGTTTTTGTCTAAAATTAACAATAGATAATTAATAATAAATAATAAATAGATAATTAATAATAGATAATAAATAGATAATTAATAAAAATGATAACATACCCTCCAGATAAATTAATTCCTTTTTCACCAATTTCTGTCATATCACCAGCAGGTAACATTTCTAAATCAGGTTCTAAACAACAATCCTTAATAACTTGTCGATACTTTGCATCATCAAAAGGTAAACCAAAAGTAATATTGTCCCTAAGTGTAGCATTTTGAATCCACGCAGTTTGAGAACAGTACCCAATGTTTCCACCAAATAAAACATCACCTTTAACTTTTTTCATTTCACCCACTAAAGCAGATAATAATGAAGATTTACCAGAACCTACAGAACCAACCACAGCGATTAAATTTCCACGAGAGATTGAAAGATTAATGTTATGTAGATGAGATTTTGAAGAAATTTCAGGTATATCAACAGGGGTCAAAGAAGTAGAATTATCAGAAGAATCATCATTAGGAGTTGAAGCTTTTTCATTAACAGTAATTGAAGAAGAAATAATTTCATTCTTTGTATTTTTTTTATGAAATTTTTTTGATTTTTTATCTTTTTTCTTTTTTTTCTTTGATTTATTAATAATTTCTTCTGGTGGAGAACTTTCCCAAATAAATTCACCATCATTAACTTTGATAGCAAATTTTTCATTTGTATCTATTCCTGGTAAAACTGATAATTCATCGGCTTGTAAAAATTCACTTATACGATTAATTGATACATAAGCATCAGTAACGGAAGCTATTACCATCGGTAAGAACATTAAAGGTAATCGGAGAATGTTAAATAATGCTAGAGAAGAGAATACAATTCCAGGTTCAAGATTGCCACCCGTCAATGAGTAGGTTATAAATGACAAGATACTAGCGAATACAGGAACAACCTAGAATAATCAACAAAAAGATATAAGTAAAGAAATAATAAGTAAAGATAAAACAAATATAAAAATAAAATAAAGAAAAAAAAGAAGAAAATACCATTGAAACACCAGTAATAGCAGCTCTAATAACTAATAAAAATCTAACCAAACTAATTTCTTTATTTCTTAATTTACTTAGAGCATCAGCAAAACTATCTTCCCAAGCATAATATTTAATAACCCTAATACCTAATAAAATTTCTTGAGTCAATTTTACACGTTCATCGGTAACACCAGCAGCTTTAGCTCTTGTACGAGCTAACAAAGACATAACCTTTCCTTGCATAGGACTCACAAATATTAATAAAGCAAAGCCAGCCAATGCGGATGGACCAATATTTACTATTAGTAAACCTAAAGCTATACATATTTGAATAGGAGCAGCCCAAATTATATGAAAATAACCGGATACAAAGTCAATGCGAGTAGTATCAGTGGACATTAAATTAGTAATCTTGCCATTAGTGAATAAGCCTCTAGCTTTACCACTTAATACTAAAGCTTTCCGATATATAGCAGTTATGAGAATAGTACGAGAGAGGAAACCAGTTTCCATTGCGCAATAAAAGTATAAGTTTTGTAAAATAGTAGCACTCATTTGCATTAAGAATAAAGCGACAGCTAATACATAACCAACGTATACAGGTGGATTGAAACCCAAATATGCTTTCGAGACGAAATTCAATAATAACTAATGGAAATATTAATGAAAAATATTAATGAAAAATATTAAAGAATTAATTTTTTTTCGAGACGCGTAATACTAATCACGTGGAAACACACATATACACAAACACGTGAAACATACCTTTAAAATCAAAGGAGAGGTAACTAATAATGTATCACTAACAAATCTACAAACACCTGCCAAAGAAAATTTTGCCCACAAAACTCTGTATAAAGCTTTAATCAAAGAAGGTTTTTTTCCTTGATTAATTTTTTGAATTTCTTTCTTCCATTCGACTTCAAAATTATCAGTAACAATTTTAGCAGATCTCGCGTCATTCAATACATATAGATCATCTTTTTCCAATGGACGTTTATAACCTAAATTCATTATGCTATTGGCCCACCAAAAAGTGAGTATAGAAAATATATTGGCATTTGCTTCTGGAATTTCAACATTTGAATGTGAGGGAGGAGGAGATTTTGAGTTTCCAACCATTATTGTAACGTTATCAAGAACAAGATATATAATTATTATTTAGATGATAAATCTGCTTAATTGAATTATAATTTTATTATTATTTAAAATTTTGAATCATAAAAATAGCATAGACAATCATAAAACTTTAAACGTCAAGATAACGCTAAAGAAAAATAAAAAACCAGGCCACAACTTTATATGTTTTTTTTCAAAGTTTGTAAACCAATCATTAATTGTTCTGAAAAGTTTCAAGTCATTCTTTTTAGGTATTGTGTTGCAAGTATTATAAACTAACAGTACTACTGTAAACTAGCAAAGTGAATTTATTATTTGGATGCGGATTATGATGATCGACTGACATTATAGAAAATTAAAGTAAAAAGTAATTAGTAAGGTGAGAAAAGTTCCAGTGATTTCTTCTGCTGTCATACAAATAATTATTTGTAACAACGATTTGAAAGTAACAACATATGTAATTCGGAAGGAATTTAGCCGTTTTTCATCTCATCAAGAATAAACAACAACATATCATATCACACAAAGTATATATTTAAGATTTATCCAGAGATAAATGAATACATTAGATGTAATATTGTGTTATACCAAATATTTATGTAATAGTAAGATAATTTAAATTCAACATACCGATATAGAAATGTTAATTATTCCCTATTAAATTATTTATTACTAATAATGTGTATACGTATACGTATATTATATACGTAGCATAAAATGAATTGATATTACGTGAGTAATTTTATGACTAATATTCTTTTCTAACAAAGACAAGCGGCAAAACGGTTCGGCCCAAAGGTATCCGATTTGTTAATTATTTTATTTTTAAGGAAAACTACGCATGTATTTTATTTTTTAAATTTTTTTTTAAAAAAATCCTCATTTAAAGTGAGACTAAATTACTGGGCTAATTTGGTCAGTTTCATATAAATTCAAATTATGACGAATCTAGCCGGAATATATTATACCCGAATTAATGATGAATTGACCATTACTCGTATCGATTTACACGGCCTAACGTGACGGATTAAAATGCGACAACCAATGATTATAATTTCGGAATGATAACTCATTGGTTTTTTTATATTTATTAGACCGTGCAGATCAGCAATATTAATAATTAATCTATTTTTATTATGAACTTTTTGGATTTGTTAATAAGAGTATTGCATGGATTTAGTGGTTTCATACACACTTCTCACTGATAACTCATCATATATGATTAGGGCTGTGAAAAAGCTTGTTGGACCGGGTCCTTGAGTCGACTAGGCAGACCGACTCGGAGTCGACTTCAGATAAAGTCCGAATGTAGGGATCTGCATGTCTTTTGATTGGCTAATTTATGCTGACCCATACGTATTAGAGGATCGACTCAAGGATCGAGTCCTGATCAAAGTCCCTAATTGAGGAGTCCGGACGGATAGGATCGGACTTTTAACAGCACTATATCAATTTTTAAACATAATATTTTATATTATCTTATTAAAAGTGACTTTATCCCCATACGTACATACAAAACGATCGTACATTTGGGTGAGTACACAGCAAAACCATGCTTAGAGTATATGTATTATATATACTCTAAGCATGGTTTTGCTGTGTACTCACCCAATTTTTGTGAGACTATGCAGCATGGTGTTTAATTGTCACATATTGTAATTTATATAAAAATTAACATCCATTGTGATTTCATAATATATAAACATGTAACAATTAAACATCATGCTGCATAGCGCCCATCTCTAATTGTATCTCATGACTGAAGCGAAAATTAACCAATTAGTGTTAGATGTCATACGATTGTATAAGGTTAGATGTCATACGATTGTTTACGTAATGTACACGTCGACAACAACTAGAGAATTCTATCCGGAAAAATAATAGGATCAGCCTTACACGGAATATTATCATTAAACGGTGTATGATCATTCGCGGTGATGCGTCAAAAAATGACTGAATCCGTTTATGATAATTTTGGACTTAAATGAATGCTAACGTTCATAACATTCATTTAAAATAATTATCGAAAACAGATGTTTTATACCATCTTAAACAAATCCTACAGTTTGCAGCATTCGTTTAAGCACAGAATCAATTGATAGAATGTATGACATGCATGACGTGAACTGATAACAACTAGAGAATTTCTGATAAAACGAAGCAACTACATAAGGTAATAATAGAACAGTAGAATGAATGAATAACAACAATACATAAACAAAATGAATTGACGGATGAGGAAGTAATACGAAATGCTTGATGGATATAAATTATGCCGTGCTAAAGCTTAGCGTATCGGTATTACAATAATGCATATTAAGATTTTCAGAGAATAAAAAGAGAAACAAAAAGTCTCAAAACCTGCTTTTAGTGGTTTTGGGGGTACTAAGCAAAAAATGTCAAACGTTCTAAAAAACTTTAATTCCTAATCGTTATCTTTAACCTAAGCCTTAATTCTAATTATAAGGTCTAAGTTTAACCCTAAATTTGAGATAAGAATTTCTATAAATCTTATATATTATATATTAGAAAATATATGCTACGTAGTGAATTTCACTTCCGGAGAAGTTTTTAGTGCTCTTGATCGTTGATGTACTAGATTATTCTTTTATTGCGACAGTAATAATAATATAACTAAGGATGGGAAGTCGAATCTATTACGCAGGCTGTACGGCCTCTGCACCATTATGCAAGCTGACCAGAATTATGCTAGCTAGCCTGAATTTTAATCACTATTGGTACGTATCGGTATCGGGTATTTATTTTTGCCATTTGTTTATAGTTAAGTTTTCAGCAATCAGAATCAAATACAAAAATTTTTTGCCTTATGTAAGAAATTTATAGTGCACGTATAATAACTGATCGATCGAGAAATGCTGCAATCAAGTTATGCATGAATACAATGTACGTACCAGTTAATTAACATTAAAAAATATATAATTTTACCGAATTAGCCAGGGCGACTACCAAAATTATAGGTCGTGTGATTAAATTATATCCATTATTTGATTAATAACATCATCACGTCATTTTTCAAAAACGGTTTTAGTATTTTTGTTATACCGATACAGTATAAGTAAAAAATTTTTGCACTTATTACTTAATCCTTATTATCGTTATAAAAGTCTAATGTTATATAATGTAAATTTTAATTTGTATATTTTTAGTTGTACCCCTATTATAGATGTAATCCAAACTCCCAAACTATGTGATAATTAGTATAATGTTTTGGTTTCGGTTGTTTTTTTCTTATTGTGATACTAATTGGCACATGGTTTGGGCGTCCCAAATAGTTTGGTTACTAACCTTTATGATAGTCGTCCATATAATTGGTTCCCCAAAGATAATCGAGGTCGCAGCAAGGATGGCTCCGAAATTCAAAAAAGGAAATTACTTGATTATTAATTTAATTATTGATTTTTTGAATTTCGGAGCCACCCTTAGGTCGCAGTTCTATGATCTTCCTAATAATTATATCTATTAGTAATACACCAGACAAATTGTACAAGCACTTATAGGCTTTCTCACAAAGCTTAGTCATGTATCTCTCCGTGATCTACAAATCATCGGGACTTAAACCCTGATCTACGAATAACCCTTTCTTCTTTAGTATCGACGTATAGATCATACGTATAACCAAATACATATGTAATATGTATCTACTAAATGTATGAATAATAAACTGACTAATGTTCCGATCGGGTTGGGTCAACCCGATAGGGATTGGAATCGGTCTAGTCGACTATTATGTTTAGTCGAATAATTAGTCGACTAAACGTAGTAGTTTACTGTACGGATTTTTTTAGTCGACTAAACTGATTCCAATCCTTACAACGCGAAACCCGAAACCCGACCTGAAAGCTTCAGGCCGGGTTTCGGTTAAAAAAAGGAAAATTTACCCCAAGTGTTCGGGTTGAATATTAACCTGACCCGACCTTGCCCGGAATTTTTTTGGTTTCACGACACTCATTTCGTACATAACATTTTACGAAAAAAATTTTACCGACATGTTTTATTTATTTACTGACAGTTCATTTCACCAACAGCTCATTTACCGAAGCTAGGGACGATGATATTTATTATTATAAATTTATCACAGAAAATCATCGTTCCTGACCGAAGCTCATTTCACGGGGCCCATCCACGAACCTAGTATACGCCTAAAAAAATTACAGAAACTGGGTTTAATTTTAAATGTAGTTTATCGTATTGATTAATAATCAATTTTAATAAGCACAAATTTTTTTTTTTACTTATTGCTTATCAACTAATTTAATTGTTGACAATCAATACATATCGAGCGAAACACTTATCGTTATCTACCGAAACAATTATCCGGTCATATGCATCAATTATCTAATTAATCTGATTAGTGTGTTCAGAATTCTGCTACGATTACCATTAATTTTGCAGATTCTGCGGCGATATATAAATAATACTTTAAAATTTAAACCGATTTAAAAATTTAACATCTAAAACGAATCTTCACCAACATATATATTAAATTATTTAAAAAATTAAAATAAAAACATTTGCAGACGAACTATTTAAAGTTTTGTTTTCGAAATATTACACGATAGATTGAAACAAAAATTTTTTAATCAACATTATAATATAAAAAATTTAACATCGCAATAGAGTTTTCTGAAAGACGTCTTCTATGATCGTCAAGAATATTTTTGTAGGCTGAAAAACTACATTCAACATTCACACCTGAAACAAATAATTATCATCTCAATCTTAGAACTAATTTATCCTTAAAATAAACTTCTTAAAGCCTTCTGTATCTATTTTTATAGCTAACTTAGATATTGCTATGACAGAATCAACACTTGCAGTTAGGGTTTAACTATTAAACCATTATGTTATTGTAGAGTTCACTTAGACCCTAGTATCTATTTCACAGCATAATCCTGATACTTGAGTATATCTCTGAATTTTGTCAGATTTCTAATCCAAATAGTCTATATAAAACTACAACTAGTTCATCAGTATATTAGGTTAACCTAATATCCTTTTTCTCTGGTTCATTCTGGTGGCTTGGTTGGTGATATCTCCAAGACTTCCAACTTAGAGATTCTTGTCTGTCTAATTACTAAGACCTGGGTATCCATTTTCTCAGAATAACCTTTATAGTAGTATTGTTAAAGATCCAGCTATCTCTCTATTCAGGTCTTTCCAAATGGACTTCTTATTATTTAATTTTAACAGATATATACAGTCACAAAAACTTATCTAGTGTTTACACTATCCAATTTGTCAATTTGCATTCTTCTGTATAATTCCAACATTGTATAGATGTCCTATGACCTGCCAGTTATGCTGATATGATCATTATTACAAGTATCCTAATTTAATTGTTAGTAACAGTTAATGTAATATGAATATTACATAGGTGATTATCCAAATTTTTATCATTGATAAAATTTAAACATCTAATCTATCATTTGGGTGGTTGATAATCTAATTACTTCACTAGGTCACTATATTCTACTATTCTGATTTCTTAATATTATATATCCAGTAATCTTATTATAAATTTGCATTGAAGTCTTATATAATACTAGTTATTTAATATTTCTTTATATATATATAATATTATATTTAATATAGATGAAATTAAGATTTTTTTTATACTAATTCATTATAAAAATTTAGTTTTTTATTGTTATATTCAAAGTTTATTATAGAATTTATACTCAGATTAACTATTTTATCTTTTATAATTTAATTAAAAGTAAAGATAATATAGATTATTTTTATATAGTTATGTATAATATTTTAAAATTTTCATCTAAAATTGATATATATTATTAATAAATTTTTTATTTTTTAATTAATCAATAAAAAATTTTAATATTATAAATAAAATTATTTATCTATTATAGTAAAATTTTGAAGTATTATATTATATTAAAAAAATATATTTGTATATATTACAAAGTTTTTCAGGATTATTTAAAATTTGTTAAAGTTATACAAGATTATTAAATTTGATTGGTTAATTTATATAATCCTATAAGTTAATTAATAAATTTTTATACCTAATCTTTAAAAATCATATCTTACTGAGTTTTTACTTAATATTAATGATTTTATTATCATTAGAATCAGAAAACTCTATTTTACAAACATTTTTTATAAATTAAAATTAGGTTACTTAATATAATTTTTTTATAAAATTAAATATTAAAAAAATTTATCATTAGGTTTGTATATAATTTTAAAATACTACCTTTTATCCTTAAATATCTTGTATTTATTAAATTTTATTAGTTATTATTGTGAATTATGAAATTATATTAAATTTTTATAAGAAATTTTATTGACTAATTTTGTTGATTACCATGGATATGTGGCTTAAAAAATGGGTTATCAGAACAAGAAACTTTACTAAACAAAATAAAGCAAAATAATCTAAAACAATAAAACAAAGTACTGTATTTCACAGACTAAACCACCCTCTTCTGTATAATAATTGCCAGATAATATAGATATTTTGATGATGCATTCAGATGTATAATATATTTATTATAGTATTATACATATTATATAACTTTGTTTATAATTACATAATAAAAAAAATCTATCGATCTATATAATCTATTAAATTCCACAATAACTAAACAAGTATCTAATTAAATCTGGTTCAAGTGAATCCTATACAGTTTCTATTTACTGAACAAGAAATGAATATGAAGACTATCTAATATGTTCTGAAGGAGTTAATTCATGAATTGTTTCTACTAACTAATGATTATAATGTTCATGAATCTTTGATTTAAAACTCTTATTAATATTAATGTCTAATAGTTGTAATTTAAATGTTAATCTACCAGAAATTACTACTATATTTGTATTATTAAAGAGAAAGTATTGTTTTACTGAATCCATTAGGTGTGTGCAAAAGAAATCAAGAATTAAAAACGAATTAGAATTATTAGATGATCTTCTAGTCTATATATTACTGATCTACAACAGCATTTCTAATTCATTTATTCAATCTTTTTTGTTCATATAAACAAACATATTTGCTGAAAAGCTTTCTTGAGATATAGTTTTTCTTTTAAAAATGTAAACTGCTAGTAGTTTCGTACTATTAGTTATACATCTAAGAATGATAGTAAAATTTTTTTTCATTACCTGAGGTATGAATATTAATGATATATGCATCACACCTTTCAATTATTGAGGGATTTGGTGAATCGAATGTAAGAGACATCTTATTCATATTACTAATAAGAAATAAAAGATAATTATATTGAATTTGTAAATTTAAGACATAATTAAGAAAATTTAATCTTTTTTCTTCTAAATCTTCAGACAATTGTTGTGAAACAGTAGTTTGGTGACAGACTGATAGATTATGATATTCTAAGAAACCATTGAGCCAATTGTTGAAAAATTTGAATGATTTAATATTTGAAAGATTTTGAAAATCTGTATTTTGAATAAGCAAGATCACCTTTGCAGTTATTAATTCTTTGGTAACAGGATTTTATAATTGACATTGTTCTGTAATCCAGTTAGATAAAGTTTTTTCTATTTGTAAATAGTGAGATGAGTATCCATGATGTAATTTAAAAACCTTAGATGATGCTTTGATTAAGTTTTCTTTATTATTTATTCAATCATGTAATTGATTTGGTTGGATATTAAATTTTCTAGATACTTCTTTAATACTTTGGGTTTCATTTTGTTCAAAATAAGTAATAATATTTAATTTTTCTTTAACATTTTATTTTCTTTTTAATTTTTGCATTATATGAACTTTAGAAATATTTTTATTACTTGAGATTGGTATTTTTTTTTTATTAGAAAAAATTAAGCTGTCGATATCATTTATCATTTATATATTACAAAAAAAAAAATTTTTTTTTGTTTTTATGATTCTTACAATAGCAAAGAAGATTTATTATCTTTACAGATGTATACAACTATATTATAAAAAATAGAAAAAAAACTCTTTATGCAAAGACAAAAATTTGATAATTGTACTGTTTAATGTTTGTTAGCTGTCATTAGCTCAATAATTGCAAGACAAAAGAAAATAAATTTCAAATAAAAATTGTATGTTTAACGTTTGTTTAAAATTTCGATATCTAACGTTTGTTTCATAATGATGCACAAGCTATTAATTTGATATGCACCATGATAATATCCGCACAATCCGACAGGGGGGGGTGGTTTAGCCCGCGAAATATGGTAATCTAAAACTATTAACTTAATCAACATCAGCTGACAAATAATGATAAAAACTTTTCATTTTACCTTAGAGCTCTAAGAGAGGCTTTAAGTACCAGATTTTACCTATAACGATGCTTCTAATCCTAGTCCTAATTTTTAAAAACCTCAGTTTATGATGTAAAATTTTATTTTTTTTATTTTTTTTATTTTATTTTATAAAATTAAGATGCAAATAAAATCTTTATGCCAATGAAAAATAATAGATTATTTTAAAGAAAATTTATATTATACATAAAAATATATATATATATTAAAATAAATTAAACACTCGTATTAGATAAGACGGATATAATGAAAAAGTTATAATCGACATAATGTAGGAATGGAATTTATGAAATTCTAAATTTCTAACCAAATATCATTCTAAGGATTAAATACCATACACAACCGAATGCTCTAAATGCAGAAAGACCAGTAACGGACCAAAAAACTATAAAATAGTGAAAACAAAAATATAAAGAATTAGATAAGTGAAAAAAGCCAATGAATGAATATATAATTCAAAAGTAATACTTACTAAATGTTAAATATGGGTTAAAGACAACATCTCCATTTGATTTTGACAACAAGTATTTATTCCAAGTATCAGAAGTAAAGAACACTACTAGGATAGCGTTAGAAAACATCCAAGCTAGAACAAGGTTAGTTCTAAACATTCTATAATAATCCTCTTTTTTAGTTGCAGCATCTCTATGCTTTTTTTCTTCGTGTACTTTAATTCTAAGATCTTTAACCAAGTCGTCATATGCCGCATTAATATCTTCACGTTCATGAAGCATTTCTACTTTCATCATTTGTTTTCCATCTTTACCGGGTACCACCTGGGCACTTCCTAATCCTCCAGAGCTTCCATTATCACCTTTTGTTCCCCATGAAACATCATGTGTGTTACAGAACGCGTAAACCATTAGGATGTTAACGTAAAATGGAATAAGTAAAGTATATTGAACTAAACAGGTAATCATATGCCAGGGTTCTAAGTGAAGTATTGAGGCACCAAAATAAAGACCGTAAGTTGATAGTAAGGAAATTACAATATCTCTGAACGCAGCTTGTTTAAGAGCGTTTTTGATATTCGTAAGACTCTTTAAATCGGTATCTTTGAAACTTAAAAAGACAGTGTAGGCGGCACAACCCATCATTGTCAACATTAGAAGTGCAAACACAAGTATACACAATATATATATCTTTTTTGATCCTTGAGGTCTGTTACCCATAGAACAAATAAAAACTGTGATTATAACCATCACGTAAAGAGAACGCGCAAAATTAAACATTTCCCTTCCATACAGATCAAGAGTTGCAATGGTAGATTGCGTTAAAAAGAAGAAGGCCAAATAGAAATTACCCTAAGAAAAAAAAAGATTAATTTTTTCGGATAAAAAAATATTCGAATTTCTATAATTTTTATATCTTACCAAAGCAAACCAATTGAAAATTAAATTAATCGCATTATATATAAACTCTATTTGTAACAAGACCATTCTGTAAAAAGGTTGACCAGAAGACCAAATCCTAGTAAAGTGAGCAATAGAATAGAAAGCTGCAAAGAAAGATCCATTTAACCAACGACGACGTTGTGAAATAAATTCAGCTACATTGTCTGGAACATCAGTTTCAGCTTTAGCAGACTAAATATTGAAAAAACTAAATTAGATATTTTCTATATTATGAAAAATAAACATGATTATTTAAATTGTTTATACCTTAACATATTTCAATTTCCAGGACTCGTGTTTTTTAGCAACAAGCTCGAAGCATAAAATACGATCTTCAGCCAAATACATATTAGCTTCAAAGATACCAGCATCAGCCGCACTAGAACCATGCATAGCTTCACCTTTAAAGTATGAAGCCAAAGGTCCTTTACCAGGTGCAGTATTTTGTAATGCTCTGTATCTATAAGCTGAGAAAGCACCAGGCAACACGGAAATATAACCAAAAACAGACTCTAAAGGTTTATCTAATATGTTGGACATCTTATATTCAAAATTTTGGGATGCAACTAATGGGTTAATGAGGTTCAACCATGCAGTTCCAAGTTCGGCTTTGATTTCACCACAAGCACCTCCAACTCCTGGATCGCGATCAAAAGCTTAAAGGGAAACAAATAAATAAGTAAATGAAAATTTGATTTAACTAAATAGTTTGACACAATTTAATAACATGGCATAATTATAATTATTCTATATAATATTAGGTATAAAATTTACCTTTCCATAAATGGTAAATCGAAGTACCAGAAGGTTTAGTGCCAACGTCAAGTAAAACACAAACATTGGGCTTTAATTGAGCGGCGAAAGCATTAAAAAACCATCGATGTGAATTTAACTTCTTGGCATTCTTTTCTTTTAAACAAAACAAGACTTGTACAGGCGACAACTTCTTGTCCGAACCACGAATGCTAAATTCTTTGTCAACCATTAATTGAGAACTATATTCAAAAAGATGCCCAGTAACAGGTTTTCCATCAACATTGTCTTGCATAATACCATCTTGATAAACACCCATAGCTCCAAGAACTTTTAATACACGCTGATTGATTTTATTACGTCCATCAGAGACGATTACTACCACCACTTTTTTCCAACCATCTTCCCCTATAAGAAGTTGAAAAAGTTAGATTTCGCTTGATTTATTACTAGTATTATTTATTTATTTATTTTTAAAAAAACAGGTTTACCCCATGTTTTTGATCTTTTTTTTGAGCAAAGGTAGGCAACATTTTTGATAGCAGAAGACATAGTTTTAATAAACAATTTATCATCTTCATTATACATTGTCATAACAATCATTAGCTCTGTTTCTCGTCCGTAAATACGAGGTCGGAGCAAATATTTGTTTTTAATGAAATCATCGGGATCACACGTGACAGCGGTGTATCTCATATGTTCAAATTCATCTCCTTTCGTAAAACCCACGTTACGAAGTACTTTGTCTGGCACAGGACAATCAAGTACTAAGTTCCCGTTAGTAAGTTCAATGTGACGGTAAGACTACAAAAAAATGTGATTAACGAGTAAGTGAATCATATCACGTGATAACATTTTTTAATTGTAACCTTTTACTTTTTTCTCTCACTAACCCTTCTTTTATTAGCCCTATCATCAATAGAACGATCAGGTTGTAAGTTTACAGCTTGATGTTCAGGCCAATTCTGTTGTCTTTGCAATGAATGATTTTGTACACCGACTGGTGAAGTGTTATTTCGTTGGTTATAATAATCCGCACCAGGTGATGTAGTGTTAGTTCGTTGGTTATAATGATCCGTACCAGGTGATGAAGTGTTTGCTCGCTGGTTATAATAATCAGAACCAGGTGATGAAGTGTTTGTTCGTTGGTTATAATAATCCGCACCAGGTGATGTAGTATTATTTCGCTGATTATAATAATCCTGTTGATACCCTTGCTGCCCTTGTTGATGTCCTGCTTGAGGAGAATAACCTTGTTGGTATCCACCCTGAGGGGAGTTTCCTTGCTGACGTCCTCCTTGAGGAGAATACTCTTGTTGACGACCACCTTGAGGAGAATGTTCTTGTTGCTGATACCCTTGGTGCCCTCCCTGAGGGGAGTATCCTTGTTGCTGATAAGCTTGTTGTGGATGAAACCTGGATGATTGTTGATATGAATAATCGTTTGGATATCCAGCCATGTTTTTTATTTCAATAGTAATGTAAATGAGGTTTTTAACATATGTTATTAATATCTACAATTTTGAACAACGTAACATACGCTGTTACGTTTTTAAATTTTTATTTTGGTAATAAGTGAAGTTTTAGCAAGGAGTGTATGAGATGAATCCCTGAAATAGACGAAGGAAAGGGTGAATGAATGTAAGCACACTGAGAGGGTATAATCCTCCCCCGTCGAAATATAAGTTTTGAGGATGAAGGAAAAGAGAGATCAGATAATAAAGAGTGAATTGGTGTGATCCTATATTTGATACATTTTGACGTACAATTTGATTAAGACGCAGTGTCTCGAGACACATGTATGCCTTTAAACTTTATAGTGCTATTATTTAAATCATAGCACAAAATATATGACATGCAACTATTTACTGGATGCCACACATTGATTTGTCCAATTTCTGATCACACAGGATGTATAAAGACATAATAATAAAGGTATGATAAATTTATTTTTTACAATTGGTGTCACCAAATAAATCACACACGGCCTATCAAAGGTTATGACGTCCAGTTTCATTTCAATGTTCCTAATATTAATTGTTTCGCATGAATATTAAGTGACTTGCAAACCCGCATTTAGTTTTTAGTTTTTAAATTAAGTGACTTGCAAACCCGCATTTAGTTTTTAGTTTTTAAATTAAGTGACTTGCAAACCCATATTTAGTTAACTTATTGTTATGATTATCGTTATGATTATCATTATCGTTATTGTTATTAGAAGTGTTAAAAACATTAAAAAAAAATAGTTTTTAATATAAAAAAATTTTTTCAAGGATTTACAAAAACTGGAGCTACCAGTTCACGAGAACCAATTAGTTAAATTTTCATATAGAAATTTTTTTTCAAGGATTTACAGAAACTAACACGGCCAGTTCATGAGAACCAATTAGTTAATTTTAATGGTTTAATAAAAAATAAGTATAGGCTATTAAAAATCGGTATATCAATATGCAGTGATTAATTTGAAAGACATTATTAGCGATGAACTTCTTGGCATGCACAATCACGATCAGAAATGTCAATGAACAAATTTGGGCAAGATCTTGAATGTATCATATGAAAAAGAAATTGGAATAACTCAAAATTTTACTACAACAACTTGATTTAATTCATTAAGTAAAGTATAAAACATGCTTGGACGTTTTTAGACTTGAACGTTGGGCATGTCGAAAAAAGCCTTTGTGCATTACACTGACAAGTGGAGTTCCAGGAATACGAATTCTTAAAAGGAAACTGAATGTAAACCAAACAAAGCACGTGTAAAATATTTGGGTCATGGAGTTAATGGTAACATAGGACCGATTTGCAATCTAGCAAATGACAAAGTTAGGGGTCTGCATACCTAGCACTTGGTGTGCGATATATGTGGTATATAATACATTAATGAAGATTTTTTCGATAGGTAATAATTTTATAATAATTATTGCAAAATTTAAATAGATGCACAGTCCTAATGGTTCGATGGTTTTGGATAAAATTTTGCAAAGACCACTATTACATCTTTACAAACAAAGCTATAGTGCCACTTCTTTAAAGAAGAAACTAAATTAAGTTCTTTCTTGCTCTTTTTTTTTAAGGAAACAGAAAAACACAGCATATTATTGAAAGTTTTTCATGATTGAATAAAAGAAATGGCTTTATAGCTTTGTTGTAAAGTTGTAATAGTGGTCTTTGCAAAATTTTATCCAAAACCATCGAACCATTAGGACTGTGCATCTATTTAAATTTTGCAATAATTATTATAAAATTAGTCTATCGCACACACCTCATTGTCTCGTGCTGATAAAAATTTTATGGTGCCAAGCACGACAAAAATTATACTTTGTACCAGCTTAAAATATGCCGGGCATTTTTTAAACATCGGTACCAATGCTAGTTTCTGGCACGATTGTGGATCAGAATCCCGAAAGTCAAAATTTCGAAACTTAATTATCGCACCGCGTGATGTTGGGGATTCAATATTCAAACTCTTAAGCGGAATTTGAATGTTGGATCCCCAAGCGCGATAATAAAGTTTCGGGATTTTGACTTTTGGTTCTGACCCACAATCTCCTGGCACACGCCAGTATTTACCAACACCAGTGTCTGGCACATGCCAATGTTTGCCGACATTAGTACCTGGCATTTATTTGGTAGATTTCGCCGACATCTAATTCGCAAACACCTATGTAATTTTACCGACTTCTCTGACGCCGACAGTTCATTTCCCCAACAGCCACTTCGCCGACTTCGCTTCCTCGACAGCCCATTTCCAAGACAGTTCATTTCGCCGACAATTCTATTTTACAGACTTTCTATTTCACGATCTACCTCTAGCCATAAAGTGGGCCAAAATCGTCGACAAAATGAACTGTCGGGGAAATGGGCTGTCGGGAAGTGAAGTCTGGGAAGTAGGCTGTCGGGGAAATTGACTGTCAGTGAAATGCGTTGTCAGAAGAGCGATCCGTCGGTGAAATAGGCGTCGGCGAATTAAATGTCGGTTAAATTGGGATGAGCCACTTGACTGGCTAATTTATAAAAAGTTATGAGTAGCCAATCAAATGAATTTTATTCAAAATAGTGTAAGATAAACATTTATCTATTATTTTATCATTTTTCAATTAGATTACACAGATATAGATTCTGTTGTTTCTCATCTAAAAATATCGGACACTTTTAAAAATTGACACACATATTTACTGGCATTAGCGTTTAGTATAATGTCAATGTGTCCGGCATGGGCACTTTTCAGCCTATAATTGCCTTGTTCCTTTGTGCTTATAAGCGCCGGCACCGGTCCTACTTATTTCACCAACACTTATTCCATAGACACAACAAACTTCACCAACACTTAATTCATTAACAAGTTTAATTAACCGACAGGCTCAATTCACTGACACTCACACTTAATTCACCGACAAAGCAATTATGCCAGAATTATATTTAAGATTAGTGCAAGCTAAAAACTTTTCGGTGAAGTGTTTTGTCTACGAAATGAGTGTTGGTAAAATAATGTGGATCCCACTGGCAAGGCATGTAACAGTAATGCCCGGAAAAGTGCCCTATATGCGGCATGAGCATTTGCAGTTATATAATAAGTATACATTATTGGGCAAACATTTGTAAATAATAGTAATTTGGTAATGAATACACGTCGCTTTGTGGCACATGAGCTAACTGTTTGTTATTTGGTAATATATAAACTCCAATTATTACTAGTTCCAATTGTTTAAAATACAGTGTGATTTCTATCACATACTCATTTGTTCTTTTAACTATATTTCATATATTTTTTTATTATTCTTCAATCAAAATTTTATATCTGATTCTTTTTTTATTTTCTATATTTTTTTATTTGCATTATGTATTAAAAACTTCCCTTCTTTTTCTGTTAAATTTGTTTTTATAAGTTTTAGTATTATGATTTTCTTTTTTCTAACTAGTCAAACAGGTTTTCAAAATTTTAATTTTTAGTTTTGAATCTATTAATATTATATATAATATATTAATTTAATTTTCTTCTTTTTATTTTTTTATGTTTTTTACTCTTTTTTTTTTGTTTTCTTCTTTTTTTAAACAAAAAATATCAATTTTTTTTTAAATACTCTTCTTTCATTTTATAAAAAATCTTATCTATATTCATATATTCAACTACAGCATCTCAGAAATAGTTTGTAAAGTCTTTTTTTATTATTTTTTTGTTATTTTTTTTTGTTATTTTTTTTATTTTTTTTGTTATTTTTTTTGTTTTTGTTTTTTTGTTTTTTTTTTGTTTTTTTTTTCTAACAGTTTTGTCAAGATCTTTTTTCATGTTTTTTTATATCTTTCTAAACTAATCTTTTTAATATTTAAAAACACTGAATCTCAATCTCCTTTGATTTGTACTTTTAAACTTTTTAGAAATGAACTATTACACTAATTTCTATTAGGATTAAAAGGTTTTACTAGGCATTGTGTAGAACTAGCTGTTGCATAAGTTCATGTAATATTTCTTATTGTTAGACTTTCAGCCTCACATTATATCTCATAATTTTAGTTATTTCAAATCAGACTCTAACTCATGTATGTCACTATATGGCTTCTTAACTGCAGATTAATTGTCATTTCTGAAAATAAGTCTGTTCTTGAACATTTTGAGTTCTTGGTATTATAGTATTGCAGTTTCTTATTTTTAGAAATACATTTTTACAATTGTTATCATTAGGATTTGAACTGGCAGCCTTGTGATTTGTGACCTCAGAACATAATCAATATACTATTAACCCTAGAGGTCTTTTTGTTTTTTTTTTAGATTTTCTAATTTTTAATATTTGATTTAAAATATTTTTTATATATAGATTTTTTTTTATAAATAAGTTTTAAATTTAGTTTTTTTTTTTTACAACTTTTTTCTTATTAGCATTATTTATATTTCTTATTTATATTTTTATATCTTGATTTTAAAAACTATGTTTGTTTTTAGTTTTAATAACTAAATCTTCTTTATTTTTTCTTTTGTTTTTATATATCTTGTTTTTTTTCTTTTTCTTTATATTTGTATTTGTGTATTAATTGAATCTATCTATAATTTTATTTTATTTTATTTTATTAAGACTGATATTAACAGTAGCTAATATCTTTATTTGTGTTTTTAGTTAATATATTATATACTAAAAATTAGAAACAAATATAAGTCTAGAGCATAAATAAATAAAGTATAAATAAATACAATATAAATAAATAAAATATAAATATCTTATAAATTTTATATTATTAATCAATAACCTGTTTGTTGTTCAAAAATAATTTTGCAATCATGTGTCATATGTACAAATAGACAAAAAATTTCTAAATTATGATATTGATATATTTGATTAAGATAAGTATACTAATGTATCAAAAAAGAATTTTTATGATTAAATGCATCAAAAACATACTTATACAAAGTAAATATACAACTAGTCATATATATAATTTTTAATTATCTATTTAAGTAGCCTGT